TTAAAGGTAAATCCACATAAGACCATCAATCCTTGTTTCACCTTGAAGACTCTCATTAGGCGCACACCACCCATACAATTTGATGGCGTAACCCTAGAACAACCTCTGCAGGCTAAATACCTTGGGATCACCCTTGACAAACGGTTGACCTTTGGCCCACACTTAAAAGCTGCGGCACGGAGATGCGGTCAGAGAATGCAACAACTGCGATGGTTGATCAACAGAAGAAGCACCATGACACTTAGAGCCAAAAGGGCAGTATACGCCCACTGTATAGCCCCGATCTGGCTATATGGAGTGCAGATCTGGGGTATTGCTGCAAAATCGAACTATAAACGCATTGAGGTCTTGCAAAATCGTGCAATGCGTGCCATCACCAACTGCCCATACTATGTACGTAGCTCAACCCTTCATCGGGACCTTAATCTGCATACAGTGGAAGAACAGATCTCAAGGCACACAAGCAGATACAGTGATAGGCTTAAAAGACACCACAGCATGCTAGCAAGACGCCTACTCCCTGCCAGGCCTCTAAGAAGGCTTAAAAGAAAGGGCTTTGCCAAAACAATTGGACAGCTTTAAAGACCCCCTCGACGTTTGAGACTCTGTTGTTAGTCTTCCCACGATAAGTGAGAAGTTTGGTTATATTATTTATATGTTTAATTGCAATGTTATGGTACTAGTACTGCATGTACGGATTCGTCGCTTTATAATAATAAACATTTAAAAAAAAAATGTGTAGTGTGGTTGTTCTGTAAATTCTCGTCCGAAGGTTTCCAGCTGATGCAAGACCCTGCAACACACAGAAAGTGCAGTTTTGAGTTGCCCACTGGGCTTGGCCCGAAATGACGTCATTTTGCCGCTGAAATGGCGCCGCTCTAAATGACCCCCATTCTCGTTGACCCCGCCACAAAATATATTTCGATGCTTCTTTTTTACGTAATCCAATTACAATTTAGTTGGCTTTTAGTGTGAGCGTGTGTGCTTGTCCGGTCGGTCACTATATTTTATGGTCAATATGTATAGAGACCTCAACTAGAAACTTCACTCAAGAAGTGCGAGAGTTCAATGGGGGCTTGGACAAGGAAACACACTCAACCATCTACCCATTGCTTACATCTAATGTTTTATTTATCGCACGGCAATTTGCCCAAAAGCATGCTATAAAGTATTCATCGCAACACAGACACACCTTCACACTTACAGAGGAACGCACACACTCACGTGACCCGTTTAATATGCAAATACAGATGTAAATAGCATTATCCGACTGAATCCCTACGTACACGCAAAAAAAAAATATAAAATTTATATTTACATTTTTTACACTTTTTAACAACATTTAAAAGCCAATTAAAAATATGCATTTAAAACTGTATGCTGTTCCATTTATCTTTTCGAATAAAAACTATATTAAAGTGTTTCATTTCGGTAGTAATTATTTTCTGTGGAAGCTGCATCTGTGCTCTGCATTCCGTATCTAACTTTTGACCTTTTGGAGAGGGCAGCAATTTTCAGCGAAAACAAAAATAGAACGCGGCTATGCTGGTGAGTGGAAAAAAAGGGGGTGGAGTCCACCAACTGACCCTGCATTCTCCCTTTTCGTCCTTCATGAAGGCCCACTTTTGAAACTATGAAAATGTAGCCGAAAAATGCATTCTCTTTGGGAGAAGCTTATCCTCGTTTCGATTTTTTAGAACCTACAACATTAAAAGTAAACTTAATACAATAGTTAATCAGAATTTATAATTAAAACTGACCTACTTCCTCAGAAATTTCGCTGCCTAGTTTTAGGCTAAATCTTTATATTATTCATTTATCCACTGACTTCATTGAAATTTGAACTCTAAACAATCTTGGAAACTGGCATGTTGCTTGCTCCACATTTAACAATGTATTCAATTCGCCTAATCCCTGACTGGCCCATAAGTAAAGACATCCCACAAAATGCAGTCATGCATCGATTTTTCTTCTATTTATTTTGTACGCAATTTCCCATTTTTTTCACCTTTGGGGCACAGTTACCGAGGGGCGGTGGGTGGTATCGACAGGTGTATGCTATTGCGAACATTTATGACATGCAGTTTTCCGCATAGATTTCCATGCGGGTACTGTTTGTTCACGCCGACTGTTCCATCCGCCCGGGGCCGCAAAAATAAATAGCAAAAGAGGAGGCGACTACAATGGTAATTATAAAGCCGCATTCGGATGAAAAGTGAGTAAGCGAATACCCTATACGGTACAGGGTGCAGTATAGTGGACCTTGCGGAGCCTTTAATCTATGGTGCTCAATAAAAACTATTTCTATACGAATCACAAAGTTTTCTTATCGCTTAGATTTGTACAATATCAATTTTGCGAGTCATAAACTTCGAAATCCTTTAACTTCAACTGGCACCCTAGTGGCACACCTAGTCAAATCAAAGAGGAGTTCTTATGGTTATATTCTTTTAATAATAATAATATATGCTAGTCTTGCAAATAATAAGCTTCAAAGCATTGACCTTGAATTTGCACACCTCTATGCAGGTCCACCCTAATTAAAACCTAGTCATATTTGTATGGAGGTAGTGTTTAGTTATGGATATATGTACGTATGTGTATCTGGGCAATAAAGAAATACAGCATGCATATAAAAAATTAATGGCAGTTGCACGCCATAAAGCAACCATATAAAACAGCAACAAACCACATTGACATCCAAGCAAATGGTGCGTGTGCAAAATCCCGTGCAGCGACATTCGTTACCAGGTAACCCCCTTGGCCATTCTAAGCCACAACTATCAGTTTTCTCCCGTAAACGGTCGATAGAAAACAAAATGCGAGTGCTAATCAATAAGGCACATGAAATATGGAATCAAAAACTTGAGCAAATGTTAGCTGTTTCTAATCGTTAAAATAATCGGGAAAATATATTTAAAATAATCGGGAAAAACTCTTCCTTTATCGGAACAAAATTTGAACTCTAAACAATCTTGGAAACTGGCATGTTGCTTGCTCCACATTTAACAATGTATTCAATTCGCTTAATCCCTGACTAACAAAATCATAGTAACTAAAAATAGCCCCGATTTTCACAGCTGAAACGGTGACCTCATCTCAATCAATTGGAAAAACGTAAAAAACTGTACACAGACTGGCAGATGAACGTCACATATGGTCTTTTCTTGAATTACGTATAAACAAAACAAGAGAAACGAATGAATGAAAATTAAAATGTTTTAATTAGATCCCAATTTTGCGATAAATACAAAAACGTCAACGGAATGTGATGCCATCTGTATGGGAAGAAAATAAAAATGAACTCGGCCTAGAAAGACTTTATAACAGTGACGCAATTTGCACTTGGATGCTTCTTATCTGACAAGTGTTGCTTCATAAATTCAAAGGAATTATATAATTATAAAAAAGAAATGCCCGAGCAACTTGGCTTTCTTATCCGATTACTGCGCTTCGGGAGAATGACTGTTTGCCTTTTAACTCAAGATTGATTAACTCAATTATTAACTCAATTACGGGAATAATCCGCACAAAGAACCTAATTACACTGTCAATTAATAGCGACTGGCAGATGAACACAGCCTGAGCCGATCTATAGCCATTAAAAACCAGCTGTAAGCATACGGAAATCGAGAATCCGGGGCTTCTGCACAGGTGCAAATGGCAGGCGCCAGTTATCCAAACCGACAGCCACCATAAACACACCCCGAAATATCCGGGGAACCAGTAGCCTAGCAACCCAACGAGTTTGACAATAGAGCCACTCAGACCACTGGCATGCAAGTCAATTAACACCAGCCAGCGACCAAATCTCACATGGATGACTAAATGGGCCCGCAGAGCGGAAGCGCGCTAAATGACGAACAAAAGCCGAGTGTTGAGCGACAACGTGGCCCCTGGGATGGATGGCTTGGTATTACGGATGGATGAGGGGTACGGGTACGGGTACGGGTACGGGCACGGGCACGGATTACGGATTACGGATTAGCCGGCAAGCGGCTGATGAATAAGCTGGAATTTTGAAATGTGAGCAGCAGCGAAATCAAAACAAGCAAAACACACAGCATACGGAAACAAAACTCTAAGCTTCAATCGGAAACTATGCTAAGTACAAGTGCGGTCAAAATAAGAGCTCTTAGATATACATAGGCCATTCTTTTTTTAGATTATTAAGTTTTATTCTCTTCGGACTTCTATCTGTAGTCGGGTTAATGACTTTATTGAGGTTTTTATCATAGGTGATTGATGGATGACTTGATAAATGTTTAGATAAGATAAGCAGGTCTTAAAATCTACACTCGACTGCTTCAGTTCGCTATATTCTTTTATCTTTTATTTTAGCGAAACTGAAGTATTCGTTGTTTATAATGTAGAATTGATGATTTGGAAGAGAAATTTCCAAAATCTTATTCATTATTTAATCTGATTCTTTTTTAAGTGTTCACGAACGGAAGTAAGAGGAACAAACAATTTTGAACTTCTGCCTTTCACTATTTATTTAAAGGTATTTAGAGATAATCACGTTATAATCCAGAAAAACTCAAAATTAAAGATTGTAAAATTCTAGACCTTGAGTAACATTGGAAAAAAGCTTATTGAAAAATATACATACATACATATATGTTTGAGCTTAAGAAGCAGGAGAGATGTTTTATGGCTTACAATCTCACTTGCAAAGCGAATTTTGCAAAGAATTAAACACTTCAGATTAACATTATCAAGAACTATATAGGTCTGCAATTCCTGATTAGTCAGCAAAGTAAACTCCTTATGAGTGGCTTCGCTTGTGCTATTTTTTTGACCGCAGTTGTGTGAGTGTGTGCTGTTCTGTGCGAATCGTTTCGTTTGCATTAGATTCGATTGCAATTGATCAAGCGAAAAGTGTGTATGAATGACATTGAGAAAGAAAGAGAGAGAGGGAGGGAAGAACACGACAACGACAGAGGGTGAGAGTGAGAGAGAGCGAGAAAGGGGGGCGCGTAAAGGGGGCTTCCACTCACCTGTCGACTGACGCAGTCCGGCGCTATTTGGCGGCGTGATGCTGATTCCGCTGACGCTGCTGGCGGCGCCCACACTGACGCCCAGCGATTGGTTCGATGCGCCCATGGACAGGCCAGAGGGGGTCACCGCCCCCGCGGAGGGCAGGGGCGCCTGCAGCTGCAGTAGGTGACCGCCGGTGGGCACGCTGCTCGACTGCGGTTGTTGTTGCGGCGTTCCGGGCATCGAGTGCGAGTGCGGGGTGGCGGGGTGCACCAGGGTATCCCCTCCCCCCGCCGCACCGTGCTGCCTGGCACTGTTTATGCGTATGGGGGTGCTGCTGGCCCCCGCGGCAGCAGAGGCAGCAGGGGCAGCAGAGGCGGCGGCGGCGGCGGCGGCAACGGGGGCGGCCGAAGGAGCATTATTAACGGGCGTGCTGGGCGTGGCGGGTTGCTGCATGATCGCTCAATTATTGCACTTAATTAGGTTTTCTTATTCTTCGCTTAATTGATTCTTTATATGTTTGTAAGCCCCCGTTCTCTGGTTTGCTATCAATCAGCAGGCATTGCTCCAATTGTCGTTCTCACAAAACGCACGCACACACTTACCCACACTCACACTCGCACACAAAAGCACACACACGTACAGGGCCGGACGCAGGGCCAATTATTGATTTTGTTTTAGCCGCTCGAGAGTTTTAACCCACTCTTGGGTTTTTAATTTGTTTTGCGCTAGAATTTGGGTTTCCTCACTGTTGATTTTGCCTGGAAATATTTAATTATCATTGCATTTCAATGTTTCAGATGTCAAAACTCCGATTAGAACTGTTTTAAGCAGCTCAGCTGACCAGTTGTCCAATTGGAAAGACAGCCACGTAACACGCTCTTTGAATCCGCTTGTTTTTCGATTTTTCGGTTCCAATTAGTGACAAAAGAAAGACGATTCTACTTAGAATTGTACTTATACTGATACCAACGCTAGTAAAATTCTAACACGCACACACACACACTCGCACACTCGTTTTGTCACACACTTTTTCGATTTTCGTTCTTCTTTTCGCGGCGCTCTTTCGCTCTCCCTGTCGCTCTCTTGCGGTCCGGCGTCGCTGGCGTTTCGCGTTCAACTGAAACTGAAGCTGCAATCGTGGTCGCCCGTATTCCAAAAAGCTAAACTTGTTTCTTTTCGCTTTCGTATGAGCTCATCCAACACTGCCGACGTCACCACCCCCCGCATGCCATTTATTATTTTCATGACGCGGCCAAGACGCTGGAAGTGTGTAAGAGCGAAACAAGCTTTTCGTGTTTTTTTCTGTTCCTTTTGTTCCGTTTGTTTTTTTGGGGAGGATTACAACCAGCGCCGTGTCAGCTGTTTGGATGTTACCAGCCCTGGCTCTCCAGGGCTCAGCCAGGGCTGCCAAAAAGTAACTGACACTGCTAACTAGAAATTTAACATTGACATTACAGTGAGCGAGCTTTCGTTAGGGTGAACCAATTTGGGAAACTGCATATACTTCATTCAATAATTCCCTTTCCTAATTTTAAATTCCTTGACTAGCAATGGGAAAGAAGTAAAATATTTCGGACCTTGTCAACCGGCAAATTCATCGGATATACCCTATAATTAACTTATAGTTTTCATATCTTCATAAATAATATTAACATTGCATGCCTAATCTCAACTTTCTAGCTTCTATAGTTCCTGAGAACTCGACGTTCAGATGGACGGACAGGCAGACATGCCCAGTTATACTCGGCAATATATTTTGTGACTCTAAATTAGAAGACATGCCTTACAGTCTTCACTAGAACAAGATGGGAATTATGGGCTACAAGAAAATATGTTTCCTAAGCTAATATTAAAAGCGGCAATAATTATGTGTTCCGACAGTAAGTTAAACATTCTTCAGGCTTTAATTAAGACAATTTTTACTACTTTGTGCAAGTAACACATACACTGTATGTTACACACATAAATACATACATACTTACGCACATACATACATACATACTTACACACATATATACGTACATACTTACGCACATACATACATACATACATACATACATACATACATACATACATACATACATACATACATACATACATACATACATACATACATACATACATGCACACATACATACATACATACATACATATATATATACATACATACATACATACATACACATACTCGTACACATACACATACACTCACTGCTCGAATTTTGTGACTCTAAATTAGAAGACATTCCTTACAGTCTTCGCTAGAACTAGTTGGGAATTATAGGGCTACAAGAAAATATGTTTCCTAAACAAATATTAAGAGCGGCAATAACGATGTGTTCCGACAGTAAGTTAAACATTCTTCAGGCTTTATTTAAGACAATTTTTACTACTCACTTTAAAGACCTCACTATCTCACTCACTAATATATTTATGACTGATTTTTCAAAATTGTGAGCGCGACAGTTTGCGGCTTGTGGGCGTTAGAGTGGGCGTGGCAACATTTTGATATATATTTTGATAATATACTTTCGCAGCGTCTATGTCTCTGGAAGCTGCATGCTTTATCTCAGCATTCTAGCTTTTGTTGTTCCTGAAATACAGGCGACCATACGGACATGGCCAGATCGACTCGGCTATTGATCCTGATCAAGAATATATATACTTTATATGGTCGGAAAAGTTTCCCTTTACAAACTTTTCAACGAACCCAGTTTACCCTTTTACTTTACAAGTAAGGGGTATAATTACAAAAAAATTAAAATAAAAAAATGTGTGCCACGCTTATGTGCGATATGCCAGTTAAAAATCCGATTAAGATAAGTTGAGTTGTGGAGTTTCTACAACATCATAACATCAAAAAAAAAAAAAAATATTTTTAAATGAATTTCTAAATTTAAATGCGCTAGAATCTTTTAGAGGTATGCCACTTCAAAATCCGATTAAGATAAGTTGAGTTATGGGGTTTAGAACTTCAGCCGTGGGACATTTCTTAATTTTTTTAAATTTCTTCATCAACAAAATTACAAAATATTTAAAGAAAAATAAATTTCTAAATTTAAATTCAGATTTTTAGAGAATTGCTCCAGAAACATTTAGAGGTATACCAAAATCCGATTAAGATATGTTGAGCCATAGAGTTGAGAACTTCTGTAATGTGGTATATTTCTTACAGTTTATCAATTAATATAACATTTTCAGATAATTCAGATGCACAGACACGGTAGACTTCTTCTTGTTAGCTGATAGTTATTTATTCAACAAATATCTAAACTTCCAAATTTGTCCGAATTACTCAATTACCCAATTTTAGTAAATTAACAAATGAATTTTATTATTAAAGTATTTATTAAAGTCCACCGAAACTCATGCAAATTAAAAATGTTTAAGGAACTCAAATATAAAAAAAAATGTGGGGCATAATATGATGGTTGTCAGGGCGATGTCATAATAAAACTGTTCCCCAACCGCGATATATGAAGATCCATATCTGAGCACTCATGAAAGGATGGTAAGATAATAAGGCAAAACTGGCATTCATCAAAAATTAAGGAATTTATTTTAAACCGGCAATTATAAAAGAAATCGCCGACCGATAAGCCGTTAACCCAAAACAATCAATGGGAAACACATGAGATCGCTTAATGCAATAAAATAACATCAGATTTCATGTTGGTGATTATAATTTCAACAGTATCTATTCGGGCCACATACAAGCCACATACCTTAGTGATGGTCGATCGACATATTTATGAATATTTCATTATGCCACACGGAGATGGTTATCCTACAGGGCCTATCTGGAGTGTTGATTCTGCGGATTTTGACAGGTTGGCGAAAGTTGCAGAACTTTTATTATTTGTACTGAGTGTTATCATACGTTCTTATCGCCATGAGAGCTACTGTAAAACTCTCGATCCCAGGGGGATTGATAAGTCGTACAGGAGCACATATAAAACCCGGTTCGTCCATACGGGTGGCATTGTGAAAGTGAAAGCCAAATATACACCATGAAGTACCTGCTCAGCATGACCTTGCTGCTGGCCATCGGCCTCCAGCAGATCGACGCCCACGGCATGATGCTGTCCCCGCCCAGTCGATCCTCCCGTTGGCGCTACGATGGATCCGCCCCCCAGAACTGGAACGACAACGAACTCTTCTGCGGCGGATTGAACGTAAGTGAGGGACCAGTTCGATGAGGAACCGAACATATCTACCAGAACTGAAGATTGACGCAGCTCTTTGGACGTACACAGGATTCTGAATGTTGTTCTTCAATAGGGTAATGCGAATGGCAAATCTGTTTGCAAGGCATTGACTATATCAATCTCTTATTCTATTACTACCAAATTATTCGGGGTGCTACGAAGCCCTTTATGTTGTTCCTAACTATGGTATTTCCCTCAACATCCTTGCTCATATTTTCTGATACGATGTCATTTAAGTAGGTAGTGAGAAATAGGGAAAATTGTTCATTAACCTATATATGTTTAGTACGCTTTTAAAGAGTCAGTGGCTTTCTTTATGGAATTCTAATATTGAGTACAAACACTACTTTTAATAAAGTTTATTCTAGTTTCGTATAAACATGTTCCAGTGACTTCTATAATGTTCCGTTTTATGATATATTCCATCCTTCAATCTCTTACACCAAATTTGTTTTCGTAAACCCGTAGACGCAGGCCAACAATGGAGGTCGCTGTGGACTGTGCGGCGACAACTTCCTGGATGGCCAGCCGCGTGCCAACGAGATCGGAGGAAGCATCGGAGGAGCTGGCGTGGTGACCAGGAGCTACGTGGCAGGCAATAGCATCACCGTGGGCGTGAAGATCACCACCAACCACTTGGGCTATTTCGAGTTCCACCTGTGCAACTTGGATGCCTTCGGTGGCGAGTCGGAGGAGTGCTTCGAGCAGAACCGCCTGCGATTCCCCGATGGAAGCGACAAATTGTACATCGGCACCCAGAACGGCGAATTCGACGTGACGGCGGTTCTGCCACAGGGTCTTACCTGCTCTCACTGCGTCCTCCGCTGGACCTATGTGGGTGGTAAGTGCTGGCCAGAACAACAACCAGAACTGTAACTTAAAGTGAATTAATTGAACTTCTTGTATATTCCAGGCAACAACTGGGGCATCTGCGATAGTTCCGGAAACGGAGCCTTGGGTTGTGGCCCCCAGGAAACCTTTAAGAACTGCGCCGATGTGAGCGTCTACTGGGGTCGCAACCTGGTCAAGGAGTTGGTCAGTGGAGCAGAGCCAGTGGCTCCCGTCGAGGTCGCCTGAAAATCCAGACTGAAATTTTAAGAACTGCCATTTATGTCTGAAAATGCCAAATAGTCAGCCAAAGCTATATAAATAAACGAGTGAACATTAAAAACATTAGTCTATTGGGTCCGTGCAGCTGTTTCTAATCAAAAAATTCTGGGGTCATTTACCTTTTATTATAGATGGACCCATTTCAAGAAACATATTTGCTTTATTAATTAAGTTAGCCCAAAACTATGCAAACGATTTTATAAATAAGAACTTGGCTTTCGCAGAGTATTTTTCAATATAACATGCCTGTTCTACAGCCGTTAGGTATACATCATTGCTGCTGGGTTTTGACCTAAACAGTGCGCATTGAAAATAATACAAATTAAGCATTAAAACTTCTATATTTTAAGCAGATTAGATTAACTTGCCCTATGGGTAACAGAGTGTCAATCAAATAACACAATCTTCACATTGCATCTAACACCAAAAAGGGTATTCTCGTAGTACACTGACCAAATAAACTGCTCAGTTTCAAGGCCTATTTTAATTTATGGAATAAGAGGCATTACAATCTTTTTAATACAGAATTTTGTTGTCTTAGTCCCCAATTTCCAGTTATATATAAAATTGAACTTTAATAAAATAACCTAATAAAACTTTTTGTTTAATTTTCGTATTCTTTTGCCAGTTTCTTGGAAATGCCAGAAAAATGTTGAAATTTTTCGTTCGTACTTCCTTTAGCTGAGTAACGTGTATCTGATAGTCGATGAACTCGAGAATTATGCTGTGAAGGACTATCTGAGACTTAGCAACCTGGTCTCAAAAAGTTTTTGTGACTATAATCGATATTAATAGCATATCCTCGACTACATGCTAATGGTCTTGGGTAGATCAACAAAAGTGATCCTTATATACTTTATAGGGTCAGAAACGCTTCCTTCTAACTGTAACATCATTTTCATAATTTGTGTGGACTAAGCATGCAGATTTTAGGGACGTTGTTCAAGGGACTACATGGTTCTCTCTTATTTTATAAACGGCTTTTTAATCAATCCTTTTTGAGCTGATAGTATTGTACTTCAGAATCTGCGACCTTGTGAAACAAGTTTTGCGAAAACGTGAAGTGTTTTCTAAGCCAATGAACTACTATAAAAATGGCATTGCTAACAATAATGGTCTAATAAACAATTCTTCTAAGTTACCAAAATTTCGCGTATTGCTATATGTGTCATACGTGTTTTCGCAATTTCCAGGTTAGGTACAAGGAATTCTCCCAAATTTTAACTACCAATAATCATAAACAAAAATGTGATTATGAGCCGATAAGATGCATTCACGGTAATTAGGCGAAAAATCAAAAACAAACATAAACTGCCCGCCAACTGATAAGGTTTGGGAATATACTTGTAGACCTATATAAACCCACGACCAGTTCGTTTTTGGCCAGAAAGAAAGTGATACCAAAATGAATACCTATAAATTTATCCTGTTTCTAAGCTTAGGCTTTTTAAATCGGATGGCTGAATTGGAGGGCCATGGTATGATGTTAAGTCCAACCGGCAGATCCTCGCGTTGGCGATACGATACCTCGGCGCCAACAAACTACGATGATAATGCATTATATTGCGGGGGACTTTGGGTAGGAGTGCCTTCAAAATATACTCTATGCAGCTCATTTAATGATGTTTCTAACCCTTTAGAAACAAACCGAAAATGACGGCAAGTGTGGACTGTGTGGGGATGATTGGAGCCTGGAGCAACCGCGACCCAATGAGTTGGGTGGAAAATATGGCAGTGGAGTGATTGTTAAGAGCTTTGCCGGCGTAGCTGAAGCGGAAGTCATTGTTAAGATCACAGCCAATCATCTGGGCTACTTCCGGTTTAATATCTGCAATTTGGACGAAAATGGCAGCGAGTCGGAGGATTGCTTTAATCAATATCCCTTGAATTTCGCCGACGGTAGCCAGAAGTACTACATCAACACAACCTATGGCGATATCACAGTAACCGTGAAACTTCCCAACAATCTCAACTGCATTCACTGCGTATTGCGCTGGACTTACACGGCGGGAAATAATTGGGGTGTTTGTGAGGATGGAACGGGTGCCATGGGCTGTGGCGCCCAGGAAACCTTTATAAACTGCGCTGATATCAGTGTACTATCCTCAGCGAGAAGTATATTCCAGGAGGTGCCCGTGGAGGTGGCGGAATCGATATAAGGTGGTTGTTATCAGCGGTGGTCAATCGAACAAAATGGTTAGAGTCACTAAATTATATACCTTATTTATTTTTATGTGTTTTTTATCGAATACCAAAGTTGATTGTGCAGCAATATTTGATAATAAATTTTAGAATTGAATAAAGTTGTTTCAATTTAAAAATGGGACAATAATATATAGTTATTTACACCCCACAATGAATATATAAATCTTTCCAAAAATTATGAATGTTTATTTCTCTTTTATTCAATAAATTAATCGTCGTATATATTTATTTATACATATAGTATATGTGTGTGTTTTGAGTGTATGTGGATTGTTGGTAATGACCGTTTGTCTTCGAGGTGCGGGGCCTCGCAATCCTTTCTCCTAAATGGATCCTACTAATTAAATTCATTCTTCTGAAAGCCCCTGTCTCAGACGTGTTTGTATCGATCGGATGAGATTTGCACGTTTCAGTGCTTAAATATTTTGTATTTTTTAAGCTATCCTGTTTGTGTTCGTATTTGTATCTTGTATATTATTTCAATATTCGTAATTTTTCTTAAGTGTTTCGTGGCTTACAAAATATGTTTCACATTAACTGGCTTATTAGTTAACTTCACAAATAAGGTTTATATATATATATATATATGCATTCTTTTTAAATATTTTACAAAGCCTTCAAAAGTCAATTGCAAATGATAAGTCGGAAAATTCACTACAAAACTCAAAAGTCGCGTTTCTAGAATATTTCTCGATTTCCGTTTACTTTTTAACAATTAACTAAACAAACCGCAAACAACAGTGTGTAACCTCGATTGCCACTAGAGATGTCATCAATCCGATGTATTTAGATATATATTTAGCTCTATGTTTTGAGGAGAGTTCACATATGGTTTGAAATGCCCTCCTCGATTAAAAACTATAAAAAACACACTCTCCATTATCGTCAAAATGTGCGAATCGCTCACAACTGAATTACAAGTGTTTTAACCCTTTTTGGGCTTTGTTTCTAAATCACCTTCGTTTAAAAGCATTTTAAAATACAGTGGTTGCCCTTCGAGAAAAATATATGTATATTTATATATTAATGTGGGGGAGGAGGTTCTTCGCTTCTCTACCAAATATTTTGTTATAAAAGCACCTTATAAATTTTACACGTACTCCCAAAGTTTACTAACTTGCCTCGTTTGTATAAATAGCTAAATAGTTCATCTTTCATTTTTACTTTGTTCAAAAATTGTTTTTAACATTATACAACACTATCTGTATTTTTGTTTTCTTTGTAATACCTGAATTTTAGAATTTTGTATCCGAAACGCCTTTTTTGTTGTGTGTTTGCTGACTGAGTTTGTTTCATTTTTGTTCTCCTTCTTGTAATTGCCAAAGGTTGTTTAGTATTTCCTGTCATTAATTTTCTTAGTCCGAAATGCTGGTTGCCAAAAATGTTCGTTGTTGTATTAGTTATTTATTTTGCATACGTTCTCGAACTTGGTACAGGTCAAAAAGTGTTTGTTTTGCCTTCTCTTGACCTAATTGACAAACATTTTTACTTAGCTTCATGGGGGTTCAATATTTAGGTATTGCAGTTAAGCTTTGACATTGGCACAAGTTTGCTTGCTGAGGGGAGAAGTTCAGGAGGAGTTTGTGAAAATGAAAGTAAAACTTCAGTGTGCTTCTACTAGAATTAAGTTCACACGCAGGCTCAAATATGCTTATAAACTTGGTTTTATTTTTGTTTTTATTTGTATTTTTTAACATTAACACGCTACAGTTTACGGCCATTCGCTTTTAAAAATATAAAATTTTGTTTGTTCACTAATTAATACACATAACTAATAGGTATTTAAAACTTATCGTCATAAAGAAACTATAATTAAATTATTATTAAACATGAAACTAAAAAAAATATAAACGACTACGTGAGTTAATTTTAAATTTTACATATTTGTTGATTTTGTATCTCTGGCTAATCTTTTTTTGCAGCGTCCAGCTTCAATGGAAGCGAAATTTATATTAATTCACGTGTTTTTTTTTGATGATTTTATTTATTGCATATTTTAAATGATTGTAATAACTATAACGTGTATATTTATACTAAAACTTTTTGCGTTTCTAGATTACTTTTGTGTATTCTGAGTGTATATAATGATTTATTTTTAATTTGTCGAAATTCTGGTTACTGTTGCTTCTTGGGAAAAACACATGAATGTGAGACTGACAATAAATCGATAAATTTTAGCAAGGTTTCTAAATTAGAAATTATTTAAACACATAAATCAGCGACAACATTTAATAATAAACAACTCACAAAGAACAGAATTTTGCATATGAATAAAATGCAGTCACATACTTAAAACATTAATTTACAACTAAATTTAATTGAACCGAAATGGTAAACAATATTAAATAGTATATTGCAGCAACAGTGGAAGACAGTTAGTTCTCTCATTCTCTCTCTTGTTTGTTTTCTTTCAATCGCCGGTAATAAGTTTTTTAAAATTATTTTCTTTTTAGAGTTTATTTTTCGGTATGTGTACAATTTAAAAACAGGCTATACTAAAATAAAAATATATATATAAATTATAATTCAATTAGACAACAGTGTAAAAAGCCAATTCAAGGAAATGTACATACAATTAAAAAAGGTTTTATGTTGCATAAGCTTTGAGAACAAAAGCAAACAGATTAAAAGCATTTGGATGTGTGCGATTGGGTGTTAGTGTGGGTGTTTTGTGGGGATTTGTTCTCGTTAAAAATGTTATTACTAAATATACAATAAACTACAGTGTTTATTTCAAGTTTCTTACTGTTTGATTTATACAATTCTTTGCTTGTGCTTGATACACTTCAAAATTAATGTGCAATTTAAGTTGAAGCTTAACTTCTATTTCCGTAGTTTTTTCTTTGCTCTTCCAATTTGTTGGTCGCAGTTTTGCCTGTAAATTAAAACCTAAGCCTTTACGCGGGGATTATACAATGTTTCGATTATGTATGTTTTCTATGTATGTATGTACTTCATATGTGCTTCAAAAGTTCAAAGTTTCATCAAAATTTCTACCTCTCCTTTGTTTCGGTTGCATCTGATTTATTAAGCTGCTTAATAAATTCATTTGTAATCAGTTTCTCCACTCGACTCACAAATTACGTTGCTTGTACATATTATGTATGCCTATTGTAATTAAAAATTTGTAATTTTCTCTATTCTCTGTATGTTGCTTTCTTGCTATTAGCTGTTAATAATAAAAACTAGTTAACCACGCATCTGATGCATGAGCGTTTGCTAAGTGTAAGCTTTTTTGTATATTCCTTTCGTTTTGTGAGTCTGCGCTGCTGCAATTCTTGTTGTCGATTCGTTTACTATCCTTAAGTAATTTTGTCACTTGCAGCAAACAATCTGTTGTCTTGTCCTGTCCCCGCCAAGCTCATCGTCCTTGTCAACTCCAAATTACTTGTACTTGGCATCAGATTCAGTGGCTTTGGTGGCGGAATGCGGCTGCTGCTCAGAGTGCTGTTGTTGGTGGCCACCTGTTGTTCAGTAATATTGAAAAACATCTGTACAATGTTTTCGTTGGGAAATGGAAACCAAAATAAAATTAAACTTAAATCATTTCTTAAAAAAAAACAACTTTTAAAAACCAATAAATGTCAAACGACAGGAAATGTTTAGCTATATCAAAACTGCATCATAAGCAATTTAATACGCTTAAGTTTTGAATCTAGAGGCACGTCAATATACTGCTTCTAATTACCTGCCGCACTGGTGGCCTGCATATTCAAGCTGGCGCTACTGGCACTCAATGTGGTCGACGACGAGTTGGAGTCAGACGGTGTGTTGGGGCCCGCCGAGTGTGGAGTGCAAGATGCTTGGCCCAGCAGCTTCTGACGCACCTCTCGTATCTTCAGCTGCAGATCTTGCTTGCGCGGAAAAACATCGCTGTGCTTAGACTGTGGAAAGGCATTAGCATGAGGAATTGGGTGGTTGAAGACATTAAAAGTGTGCGGACAACTTACCTGAAAGGCCATGGTGGCCTGGGCAGTGGGAAAGTTGCCGTGCTCGGCAAACAACTGCAAGACCAGGCTGCGACGCGTCTCCAGGACCTTGCGATGTCCTTTCTCACTGGCATCGGACCGAGCGCTTTGTAGCGGTGTCTTTGGCGTCCTGGGTGAGCGTCCCGTTTGGTCAGAGCTCTCCAGTTCTGCAAGGCGTTCGTCTTCATTAGGTATTTGAAAATAAAGGTAAAGGTATAATTCAAACTCATTCAAATGTGGTCGCCCCTTAGCGAAAATCATGGTCTATAAACCTATACGAGTATAGAAATATATGAATTAAGCTTACCCTTTAGCTCGTTGTTAAAGTCCGGACCAAAGAATCGCTGGGTGGTCGTAGGCGGTGCCGATGCTGGTTCGTCAATGGAGTCGTCCTCGCACACTGCACAATATTGGGAACATGATAGTCATAGTACATTGCGGTAACTGGATCCAATTATCCAATTTACAACTTACTTAGCTTCTGAACTGGCGGCGGAGCCGTGTTCTTCTTGCGGTAGTTCGTACCATAGACACGTGGCGAAGAAGGCACAGCAATGGCACTGGGGGACTGGCAATCCTCAGGCTGGAACTGCGGCAGGGCCTTGTACTTCTTCTCAAAATCTACCTGCTTGAGCACACTGCTGTGAATGTATAGGCGTTAGATAAATAAATCAAATGGTAAATATTATCTTCTTACTTATTCATCTCATCGTTCTTCTTCTTCAGGGCCGCTGCCGTTGATCCTGGAGCTCCTTTCATCGGTGACTTGGGCTGCTGATTTATGTTACTGTTGCTGCTGCTGGTTGTCGGCGTCAGTGGCAGTTGCTCATCACTGTTGGGTGTCGTTGTCGAGGACGTGGGCGTGGGCAGGGCCGAGCTGAGGTTACTGCTGTTCACGTGGCCTATGATGGGCGACGACGATTCCATCATTGTGGGTGAGTGCAGCTTGCGACTAATGTGTTGTCCATTGCTGGCCCCCAGATTACCGCCAAAGGACACATTGCTCTCCGACTTGCTTTGAGCTGCAAGAATTACGCAAGATGGTTAGTCTTTGCTTTGAAGTAAC